TCCATGGTCATGTGGCTGGCATGACTAAACACCGAAGGTGCATGGAGCACTGTTACCTTCCCACCTATTTTACTACTTACACTTTTACATGCTTTCATGGGTTGGCAGGAGCAAGTAATGGGAGCTCACTCCATTACGCAACACTAGGGATTCTAACTGCTGAACTACTGACCTTTCTGATCGACAACCTCAGTGTCTTTAGCCACTGAGCCATCTTTTTCATAAGGACCATTGTGCAAAGCAACCCTTCCTGAATGGTATATTGAGACCATTGAAAATAACATTGCTAAATCGCAGGGAAGGTGAGCTCATAATAAGGTACTAAGAGAAGCACTACAGAATGCCAAAAGTCAGCACAGCAGAATAATCTTACTATCATAAGCCAAGAACTCTGCTGAAAGAGCCAACCTCTGAGTAACTGTGTGGCTAACTTGATGAATTGTTATTTTAATTGCAATAAATATCTCTCAGTTATGTAGCCTGGCTGCATCAGCATATTTAACAAAGGCAAAAGGACACCATACTGGTGACATATAGACAAGCACAATGTAGTATCTAATATTAATTCAATCTTAGCATCCTGATGTGCTGTGTAGGAATTCCAAGACCTGATGTGTTTTCCTCTTGGTACTCAGCATATTCCCTCCTCTTCCTCCTTTTTTACATTTTTTTAAAAAAAAAACGAGTACCTGACAAACCAAATCAAGTACCAGCCTTATTTCCCAGAATATCTTTGGACTCCAAAACAGCCCTATAAGCTTTCTTGAGAAACTTAAAATAAAGGGTGCATGTCAGGGATGGGCTTCAAAAATTTCAGCAACTGGTTCTTTGCTTGGTTGCTGGGTGGGTGTGGCCTAGTTGGCCTCCTGCACCATGGCGGGGGGGGGGGGCTGTTTTCACCTTCCCCAGGCTCCAGAGGCTTTCCTCCAGCCTCTGGGAGGCTGAAAACTGCCTCCCCCAGGCTCCTGAGGCCTGGTGTTTGTGTTGAGCGCCCTTGGCAAGACAAGGGACAACAGCAGATAATATAGAGCCATTTGGTAGTTTGTCAATAGTGATGATGCTGTTGGTTAAAATGATGATCATCTAATGGGACCCAGGAAATAGAACTTTTTTGTTGACTGCATGATCTCTGGATCAAACATCATCCCTGCAATGTATTTGGCTCGCGTCCTGATCTTACTCCAAAGAACTTGTAAATCCTGGTTCTTCCCCCAGGCCTTCTGTGTGGGTTTTTTCACATCTTGTGTGTGTGTGTGTTTTCCTGGATGTCTGTTGTTCTTTTATTTGTTATTTTTAAATTGTTTTAATTATGTCTGCCATCCAGAGTCACAGTAAAGTCAGTCAGCCTTATACATGTCAAACAAAATTTCAGGACTGTGCTTATTGCATTACCTGAGACAAGCCCATAGGTGAAATTACTGTTAACCACAGTTTGCTTGTATGATTTGCTTTACAGTAACAGGCCTTAACTGTAGTCTAGATGTCAGTTTTACAGTTAACCTATATATTGTTCTCCAGGAAAGCAAGGTGCAGTGAAGGAGTAGCTTGTAGGAATATCTCCACTCCTCCTGTTTGCTTTTCACTCTGAAAGTATGCAGACAAAAGTTTGGACAGCACTGTACCGTAATTTTTTTAAAAAAGTAAATTCCAGCTGACTAAGAACTACAAAGGCTCTTTTGATTGTGGGTAGAAGGGAAGGGCCTGTGTCTGACTAAAATTTGTTTACTGATTATTTAATGATTCCATTTGTTTAGCCCTAAATCTGCCTACGATTTCCAGCAGATTTACAATAGTAAATCAACAATTAAAACTCCCATGGTAAATGAGAATAATCAGTGTTATGGCAATTATATTTTTGTCTTGTGGCTCCTTTATTTATTAAGTTTACAGCCAAGGACTGAAAGAACATTTGTAGATCAAATAATGTAAAAAATAAATAAAACAAAACCCAATGTTCTATTTTCAAGGTCACATTTTCTTACTCAGCTACCATTATTTTTAGTATTTTTATTTTTCTTTGACTTTGACTTTTCTTTTACTTACACATTCTCTTACTCAGCTACCATTACTTTTAGTATTATGTGATTATATAAAATAGATTATTTTGGAGCTTTTCAGGTAGCAAACACACATATAAATACACACACACACACACACACACACACACACACACACACACACACACACCCCTACATAGATACATGCATACAGGCCTTCCCCAGACACAAGTTCATAAAAGCAAATATTGTGAATACTTCAAACTAAGCCAAATTCCAATTCTTCTGATTAAACATATTGTATATAAGATTAGGCTGAATGGTTTCAATTGAGTAAAACACCTGATTTGATTATGTGGCATCAGGTTTGAGCAACCACATGGTACGAAGCTCCCTAGAGTGATCTGTCTTCAATTTGACCTTTTAGATGCCTCTGTGGAGCATCCATTACTGTCATAACATAAGTAAGCTGCCTAATAAGCGTATAACCAAGAGTTATCCACTAGAATTGAGGAAGAGGGGATCAATTAATGTCAGGACATTAACTCTGTCAACACAGTGTGATAAGGCTGCCTGCTGGCTCCCATCTGGTCTCTCCCCAAGGGAGGTAGCAACTAGCCAAGATTTTAACAAAATCAAGAGATCGTGATGCCAAGTCTGTTTCTGGTTTATACAGGTATGTCCTATACAAATATGTAAGTATGTATGTCCCATACTTGTGGCTATGCAAACTCTGGACATGCAGACTTTTCACACTGTTCAAGAACAGCATACCTAACAACATTGGGATGCTTTATTTCCCCACATTATAGAGATTTTTAAGTTAGTAAATTAATATAACAAACTGAAAAAATGCCATGTACTGATAGAAGGTGAGGTATCAAAGTATTTTGCCATTTTTTTCTAAAAAATCTCACATTAGAGTTAACATTTCAGTAGTTATCTTGACTTTTCACAAGGTTTTTTTTAGAAAGGATTTACACAAATGGCATGCAGGAATACGGCTAAAAAGAATTTTAAAATAAAATAGTACCCCAAATCTCACAAAGCAAGGGAAGAAGCTGGTTTATATCATGAGACAAATGGGCTGAAAACTGGATACTGTTGTTTTTGTTTAAACTGCATGTTACTTGGAGGGCAGGGAATGAATTTTGGTCCTAGCTCCATGTTTCTCAACCTTGGCAGCTTGAAGATGGGCGGATTTCAACTCTCAGAATTCGCCAGCCAGCATGTCCTCTAAGCTTACACAGGCTAATAAATTAATACGAGATAATAATGCTTCAGTACAGCTTACACCAATCATCATTTTCGGAGGTGGTATGTGTGTCTGTGTGTGCGTGTGGAATGTACAGCAACCATATTTGCAAAATGGGCTACATAGATAGACATTTCATTTTGTAGTGCTTTTTGGACTGTGTACAGTGTTGCATTTGAAGGCAAAAAAGTTCCTCCTGCACACATGTAGCACTGGTCTGCAAATCCCCAAACCAGTTATGGATTGTGCTACAGAACCAGTCCTAAACCTTGAATTATGTTTTATATTAATGCAGGCAATTGTCACTTAGTATTAAATTCAAAGCACATGTAATGTAATCTAATAATAAATAAATAAAGGTAAAGGTTCCCCTCGCACATATTTACTAGTTGTTCCAAACTCTAGGGGCAGTGCTCATCTCCGTTTCAAAGCCGAAAAGCCAGCACTGTCCGAAGACATCTCTGGTCATGTGGCCAGCATGATTCAATGCCGAAGGCACACAGAATGCTGTTACCTTCCCNGAAGGAATGCTGGAAAAGGATTCTGCCAAAACATCATGCTGGCATAGTTATTTCTTTAACAAGTTGAAAAGCATGTGTTTGTAGCCCGAAGTCAGCAATCAAAAAGGCTTTCAACAAAGGGCTATTTCAACAAAAAAAAAACGAACTTCAGAGAACGGATTAAATGTCCTTCATAGGCTCTGCTGTTTCAAAAATTGGTCAGCCTCACGAGAGGGTAAGCCAAGTCTGCTAGTCACATTCCAACTTTCTTTCTTTTTTTGTTAATGACAATTGCATATCCAGACAGAGAAATGAGAATCCAAGCAAACAAACAACAGCCCAAACTTTTCTTCCTTTCCCCGGGGTTTTATAGGCGCAGGGAAAGTCCACAAAACCAAGCCAGACAGGTGTTGTGTAACAAGGCTTCCTTCCTTCTTTCCCATCAAAACTACCCATCATCTTTGCATTTTGTAGAGCTGACTTTCCCCAAGCAAAACCCCTCTTCCCCTACAAGAGTTACAGCACAGAGGGGCGGGCTTAGACTTGGCAGGGTAATGAGTAACATCTGTAACCACAGCTGCCCTGTGGGCATTGCCTTCCTTTGATGCTCCTAAAGACTGCAGCCAGCCAGAGGGAGCCAAGGAAAGTTTATACAGATTCTCTTTCCTCTCTACACAGTCTCCCCCCCTCCCCCCCCCACTTTCAGGGAAGGCAGCCTCCCTGAAGCGATTAAAAGATGTCTCTCTTCCCCCCCCCCTTCCATCTCTCCATCTCTTAAGTTTTCCAAAGACACCTCTGGACATACAGATGCAGCATTAGTTTACCAGCTTTTTTTTGGCTGGGAGAACTGTAAAGGCACGTCCGAAACGCCCATGTCTGAGAGCTCGTTTTTAATTTTTATTTTTATTTTGGAGCAACCCATACGGATTCCCTTTCCGATCGCTGTGTGCATTTTAAAAAAAACCGATTCATATATATTAAAAGGGGGGGGGATTCTCTATCCAGACAAGAAAGGTGGGCGGAGAGGAGACGGATTAAAGAGCAAGGTTAAACCACAAAAATAGCGAGCGAGCGACCGCCTCTCCCCGTTTGGAAAGGCAGGTTGTGTCCCGAAGAGGGTGGTGGTGAAAGCCCCTCCTCGTTTAAGACCCGCAGGGGAGAGAGAAAGCTGCCCAACATTGGAAGGGGAGAGGGGCAGATGGCGGCCAAGAGGGCGATTCTTTCTCCCAGACAGGGAGATCCACTCACCTCTCGCACTGCTAGCAGACAAAGGCAAAAGCAACCGAGCGGGCGGCGCGGGAGCTTCAGGCGCAGTTAAAGGAGGAGCAGAAACAGCAGCAGCAGCAGCAAGAATTTCTCCTCCGCCGGTTTTGCCGCAGCGGCGCCGACCACCGCTCCGCTCCAAGTTGCTGCAGCGCAGGCGGCGGCGGCCAAACGAAGGAGCCCCGCGCTCTAATCACTCCCCGACCGCATCTCCCCAGCGGGCCGCCTCCCCACCTCTGGCGGGATCTGCGCTCTCCCGCGGCGGCGGCGCCCTTCGCCAAGGCGGGAGAAGAACTTCTCGTCGAGCGGCGGCGGGGGAAAAGTTGGCAAAAGGGAAGGCGAGCCGAGCGCAAAGTTCCAGAGAGCAGCCGGGCGAGCCGAGACAAGACAGACTCCGGCGGGGGGAGGAGGAGGTGGGGCTACTCAGCCGGGAATCCAGCTGCAGTGAGAGAGAGGGAGACGGAGAGAGAGAGGGAGACGGAGAGAGAGAGAGGAGGAAGTGGCTGCTCCCTCTTCTGCCAATGGGCTTCAGGAGCTGGAATGAGCCAGGCGGCAGGCACATCATTTCCTCCCGGCGCAAATCCAGGCGCCGGCAAAGCCGCCCCGCCCCGCCCCCTGCAGGGACGAAGGGGCACAGCATCCTCCCTCCCTTCCCCGCGCGACGCGACCCGCCCACACGCGTGGGATGGGGGGGTGTTTCTATTTTGCAGCAGCGTGCTTTTTAGGCTCGGGTGTCTGTCTGTCTCGTGGTCTGGTCTTTTCCACGAAGCCCCTTGTGACTGCCTTGCGTTCAAGATATCTGGAATCTATCTAGCTATCTACCCACGCTTTCTCTTCTGTTTCCAGTCATGACCTATTGCTCCTATTTGGGAGCGACAGACTGTCTCACTCCAAGAAAGCATCTCCTAGGACTCGGGCTTTGCCTGCCAAAGTGTGAACATACAACCTACTAATTCATGTGTGTTGAACAGAAGAAGAAAAAAAGAGTATAAGCACTCAAAACCCAAACAGAAAATGGCGGGAGTGAGGAGGGGAGAGACTCACTCAAATGTTAGCAGGAAATAATCTTGTGTTACACCTCCAAGCACGGGGTTTTTTGGGGGGGGAGAGGGGGAAGCAAGCAATATTAATGATAGATGTAATTTCATCCCTGAAATTACTTATTATTGTGAGAAAATATAAAAGACCCATTTAGAATGAGTGTTTTATTCAACTTGTAGAAGAACCGAAAGCTCATTCACGCCAGTATTTCTACAAAGGGGTGGGGGGAACCATCCACCTTTAAGGATGAAAAAGCTAAGCTGATTAAACTGACGTTTCCAAAACATCTTTTGCTTCATTTTTTGTTATTATATTTTCATTTTAATATAAAACAATCCAAACCCACAATTTCTACAACAGTTCCATAGTTTTGCTCTTTTTCTAATTAAGAATAAAGCAAGAGATAAAAGGTTTATTTTAGGCAATGCTTTTATCTTACTTAGCAAACTTGCCGTGAAAAGGAACAGCTGTTATAATGTTAATGCTTTTTTTTTTTTAGTCAATGGAAAAAGTGTTCTATTTTTCAAGGGGGAATGAATTTAATATATCTGGCTGAACAAAATAATAAGCCTGGGGAAAAGTACAGATAACCATTTTCTTGTGGTAAATACTTAGGAGAAGTTGGGGGAGGAAAAACATCCAGGATTCAAATTGCCATATTAAATGTCTTCATTTAGTCCTGAGGGGATTAAGCTATTTTAGTGGCTATCAATTTTCTTCCCTTTCTTAATACTGTAAATGTCTTTTATTATAACACTTCATTTATTGTAACTCTGAAAATCGGGTGTCTTTTTTTCCCCTCCCATTAAATACTTCTCTACAGAATTTCCTCTGGTTTTCTTACATGTCCTGATTTATAGTGGTATCATAGCCTCATCCGTATAAATTCTTGGGATATTGTCATTGGTTCAGCTATGATGTAAAGGCAGACAGGACATACATGTTCAACATATAAGAAGAATGTAAGAAAATAAAAGTGAAAACACAAAATTAATTTTTTCTGTTAATATCATAGGCTACCCTTACCTCTCCTATATACAGTATTCTATTATTCCCATCAATTATTATGTATCACTCTGCTTATCAATTCTCTTTACTTACTCTGCCTATAATCTTACACAGTAGTTTCACTGTTTTTGTTTATTTCCTCAGACCTTTTTTTCTGCAATAGTGGCGAATAGCTGTAGCTCAGGTGTAGGATGAGGGTGAAGGTTCGTTCTCCAAGCTTGTGGGTTGGTCAGAACATTTCATTACCAGGCTAGGTAACATGTTCAGCAGAGTTAGGGGGTGTCAGTGTTCTTGTTTACAAGGGCTTCTGTTTATAAAGGGCACAAAGTTATAAACAAAAGAACATTGACACTGACATCGTTTTTTTCCAATTTTTATCCTATCCTATGTTCTTTTCTCCTGGCCTCTGGCCTCACATCTCCAACTGTCTTCCCCACCAGCAGTTACTGCTGTTGGAATTGAAGCTGCTCTCTGCTGCCAGCTGGCTCTTTGCAACTGGCCAATTTGTGCCAGAACTGCTCTGGTGTTGCTCGACACTTTTCCTGTAACCAGAACTTTGAGTCCTTCCAAAGTTTCCCTCATTTCAGACTACTGAAAGCATTTGGCTATAAGGGTTGGGATTTGGGTAACCCTCTGCCCAGGCTACTGATACTTGCCTTGGTGCCTTCCATCTGGAGCACTTCAATACCTTTACTCAGCCAGGTTGCCCTTCATGGACTTTCATCCACGCTAACTCCTGATGGTCTAGATTAGAAGCTCTTTTTTATAGGTTGCCTTTTCTTGATACAATTCTCTGGGTCACCTGGTCTTCCTTCCTTCTGCCTCCATTGCTGTGGCTCTTAGTAGTCTCTCCAGCAGACTGCTCTAGCAGGCTCTCATAACCCAATGGCTTATTCTGCTGGTTGAGTCTGATGACCTGTTTTTTGAGTCTCTCCCATGATAGCTGTCACTTCAGTAGTGGGAGCTGTCTGGAGAGAGTCAAAAAACAGGTCATCAGGCCCGACCAGCAGAAGAAGCCAGCAGTCTTAATTTTATCTCCCAGTCCCCATTCCCATCCTTGGCCTGCTCCCATTTTGCATCTAGAGACCTAGGCTACTCACTAGCATTTTGTACTCTGGAAGAACTGACTGATTGCCAAATTGGACTGCTGCTAAATACCATCAACATAGTCTTTGCAACACATATCTCCTAAATCTAAGACCAATTTCCCCAGAAAGTTGAGTCTCTAAGGTGGAAAGAGGGTTCTGGTGCAGTCATTTTGTCCATTTGTCCTCTTACAAACCCTTGCTCCCAATTAAATTATATGCAAAACATTAATAATCTTGCATGTGATGAACTCTTCCAGACAATGTTTCCCATTAATTGCAACTTAAGATATACTTGCTCCAATTCCTAAAATTCTTAGCAATGCCCATGTCACTAGGGAATTCTGGGAACTGAAGTCCACACAAAATAAAGTTGCCAGGACTGGAATATACTATTTTAAATAATACCTTTGTCCATTCTCTAGATTGTGGGGTGGGGGTGAGGGGGAGCTTGTTGTATACTTAACAAACTTTCAATTAAAATAAGTACAATGACCACATGGGTCAGAAGATCCTATGATAATTCAGTTTATTATGGAACATTACTTGCAACTGAATCACTTCTAACAAGTACTCCTTTGGATTCTTGGTTCTTCTATGTGCAAAACAGAGGACTTTACCACATCAAGGTATATTTTTAAACAGTTCCAAAAGCACAAACTGCAATGCATTCATTGAACAATTGTGTTATACCAAAGTCTCCCTTTTTGTACCCAAGTTGCAAGTTCTTCACACCCTTTGCTTTTTCAAAATTGGTATCCCCCAATCAGATCAGATAGCCTCCACTTAATAATTCTTGCTTTAGCACTCCTAAACTCAATAAGAATTCTGCCTCTTAAGAGCGCTTGAATTAGTTTCTTAGAAACTGTACTAATAGTAAATTATTCCTGAGCTGCTTCACGGGCCATGGTGCAAGTTGATTTGCCAATAATAGTTCTTCTCAAAAGAAAAATAATTCCCGAAGAATACTATTTCTGCTAAAGATGGCAAAACATACAGACTCCATCTCTTCTCGGTAATTCATGGTATGAAGCAACACCTCCTTAGACTACTAGGATATAAGGAGCATCTATCATGATTAGAATGAAAGATTGGATTTTATGAATGAAATGTACAGAGTTCTATAAAAGAAAGGAATGGTGGAAAACCTCAAGTGTAGAGCTAAAAGCTCCCGCAGAGAGCTGTTTCCTGAGATAATAGGATAAGAAAGTGGGGGAGGGAGGGGTAAACATTTTAATGATTCTTTGGTAAAAGCAAACAATGGTGCAAGCAAAATCTCACAGTGGATTTTGAAAGGCAACTGTGTTCTGCTAATGCAGTGTCTTGTAAGATATTTTTCTCCAAAGCCTCTGTTTTGATTTTTGTTTTGTTCAATTATCTGGACTTAACCTAACAGATGTATTATCTTTTAACTGAGAAATAACCTACAGAGCCAGTTTAGTGGGGTGCTTAAGGCATTAGGCGGGGAACCAAAGGACCATGAATTCATTGTACCTAAGGCACAAAGCCAACTAGAGGACTTTGGACTAGTCCCTCTCTCTCAACCCTATGAAACAAGAAATGGCCATCGAAGAAATCTGGCCAAGAAAACTACAGGATTTAGGATCTTATTTGTATAATCTTCATGGTGGAAAATATCTACAATGCTACTCTCACCGTCTGCTTTTATTATTTTAATCGGATCTGATGCCAACATTCCAGGAACAAGTTGGTCTTCCTCTCACATTAAATTGTATCAATCTTTTTAGATTTCAGCTGAAACTGATCATTAACCATACAACTTATGTGAAAAGACATGACCAGGCCTATAGATCCTAGCAGCATAAACAAGGTATGTGCTCCTCTTTCTCCTTATGTGTGTGCATTCAGAGTGTGCATTCTTCTCTGGGTCATGTGACCAGAAGGGAAGGGGGTCTTAGGATGGAATAGTCAGCAATATTCCCAGCCATCACCCAGCAGTCTTTTTTCATAGGGATGCCTTGAGGGATTTTTTTCTGGAATGCTTTTTTCTCCCAAGCACCAAGACAATTCCCAATCAGTTTTGAACCTCAAACTCCACCCCCACCCTTGGCTTCTCCTCCAACACAAAATATGGTCCAAATCTTTTTAGTTTTTGAAGAGTTATCCTATGGCAACCAGATGGATTCATGAGAAAGTTACATTGTAGCCCACCACTACCTGCATTGCATTGGGTTGGAAAGAATAAAAAGGAAGGTGATCTACTGGACATATGAGAATCTGTACAACTGGAAATGTTGTAATTAAAATAGTATCATTAGTTTTTTCTAA